CAGCTGGATGCTTGGTTGACACTTCACAAACACTAGGCTTGCTTTGTCGAAGCTGCTTTCTCTGAGTTGTGTTCAGGGTGTTGTTTGCTCACGGTTCTGTTCCCAGCAAGGTACCAGCTTGTCGAAAGCACAGGTTGGAATTTTCCCACGGGTCTCAGGACCCTGTGGTCAGGACAGAATGGAGTTCCCATTGCTGGATATGCTGCGAGTGGGACTGGCACCGAGATGTTCATGGCCTCGTCTGAGCACTGTCTGTGCCTGTTAGAGGGACAGCAGTTCTCTGGGAGAGGTTGGCACAGCTGAGGTGCACTCAGAGCGGCAAATTGAAACAGAAATTCTGTGTGCCCGGGCTGGCTCTTTCTGCCGTTGGGATTTTGGAAAGATTTTGAGCAGGGTCACAGAATTGAGGCTTTAAAATTTTCACTGCTCAGATGGGGTTAAAGAGCAGAGTGTATTTAATCTGTTTGTGTCACTGGAGATAGTAAGAACTGCCGATGCTGGAGTCAGAGATAACCCAGTGTCGAGCTGGATGAACACAGCAGGCCAGGCAGCATCAGAGGAGCAGGGAAGCTGATGTTTTGGGTCAGGACACTTCGTCAGTTTTGTGTTACTGGGCTGTGGTCATGGACACTTTTTACATACTGCCCGTACAATGATTCTCCCAGCTGTGGACCCCTCCTTCTGCCAAAGTGTCACATGGAAGTTGTCTCCATGGTATTGGCAGCATCCTTTCCATCCTGCTACCCAGTGAACAAGCACAAAGAAATGCCCCACATAGGGGTAGTTTCATTTGGTAATCAAAATTCTGGCTCCATTTAGGCTGATCCTGGGTATGAAGAGATTGTCATATGAGGAGAGGTTGCAGTCGGAATATAGAACCTTATTGAAGCAATACAAGATTCTTAGGGGATTTGATAGTGTAGATGCGAAGAGCTTGTTTCCCCTTTTGGGAAATCTAGGACCAGAAGGTATGATCTCAGAATAAGGAGTCACCCAATTAAGGCAGAGATGATGAGGAATTTCTTCGCTCAGGGGTTAGTGAATCTGTGGAATTGTTTACCACAGAGGGCTGTGAACGCTGTCACAAGGTATATTCAAGGCTGACATAGTCAGATTTTTCATCAGTAAGGGAATCAGTGGCTATGGGGAAAAGGCAGGACGATGGAGTTGAGGATTATCAGATCAGCCATGATCTCATTTACTGGTGAAGACGTGATGGGCTGTATGGTGTAATTTTGCTTTTACATCTTGTGATCATCAGTCGATCTCAGTTCCTGCCGGGAAACATTCCCAAAAGTTGTGGAACCATCTCACTGAGGATTTTCTTGATTTTCTGGATCCCCTGCACTACCACCACAAGACTAAGAGAACTTTGACCTGTATAAAATCTTCCATTTCAGGAAAACACTGTTCAACCAATGAGTGGTTAAGTGTTGTTCTCAGCACGTGATTAACATTGCACATGCTTGAGTTAAATGCCAATTTTACAAATTTGGACCAATTCCTTTAATCATGAAGATCTCCCCTTTCATCAGTTAGTCATAGTTCTGATGACCAAGAGAAATCTTCATATTGTCCATAAGGTTGTTCCCCAAACTCCTGTCCCTCCTGCAGATGGTAAAGGTCCTAAAATGATCCTTCAGTAATCACTGGTAACTGGTCTTCAGGCAGATCCAGAGCCATTGATAACTTCCAGACAGTTCACAACCCACTATAGTGTTTTCCCACAAGATTTGCTCTTCTGGAGGAACCTAGATTTTGGAACCTCATCAAAATGTTTTCCAGATCAGATTAAAAACAAAGCTTAACCAACCTCCCCACCATTCAAGTGACTTATGACATTTCAGGCAAATTAGTAAGACATGACCTTTTATTTCTGAAGCCATCTATCTTCCTTATTGTTTACCTTGCAAAAGTGATCACTGACAGTTCAGTACTCCCAACATCTTCACGATAACTGAAGTCAAGTTATTGGCCGACAGTTTCTGGTGTTGTAATGTATACATTTTTGAAAAATGGATCCTTCCAATTGACAGAATAGCCTCTGACTTTCATGAGCTTTCAAAGATACAGGCAGGAGACTTACAAAGCACCAGCTCCCTCCTCTTTAAGACTTCCAATCCAGCAGCTGATCTGTCTTAACATTACTAATTCTGACAAAGATTATACCCCCATCCATTTGAGCATTTACACTTTTGCTGCTGATAGCTGGTCACTGCCTTCAAGCTTGAGAATAGTTTTAGTATCGGACCTGAAACCTCTGTCTTCTACTACCTGCAACGTTGAGCAGACAACAGTGATCCATGCCCTCGAATGTACTGGATGATTACTGCCTCTCCAGCCAATACTGAGCATTACAGAGATCTGACTAGAGAATAACAGTATTAAGTATGTGTTATTTTCTCACAATCCCATTCCTATCCATATGTTTGTTAACCTGTACTTAATCTGTATCGGCCCTAGGAGTACAGTTACTAACTCAACATTTGGAGAAAAATCTCCAAGACGCAAGAATCCAGGAGAAAAGTAATATTTTTCAGTTTCTTTGGATGATTTAGCTTTAAACTTGTTGGAGATTTGAGAGGAAATTGACTGACAGCCAAAATTAATCAAAATTTGGTAATTGACCTAATCAGCCCTGGAGTGTTTGATGGGTACCATGAGCAGTTAGCTTTAGTACCTTACTGTACCTTTCTGAGGAATGTTTAACATCTGTAATTGGCAAAATGCTACAGTCTGTTATAATAACCTAGTAGAGCATTTAGAAATGCGTAATATGATTAAGCAGAGTCTTCTTGGCTTCATGAAGGGAAAATCATACCTGATAAATTTACTAGAACTATTTCTACGGTGGCTCAGTGGTTAGCAATGCTTCCTCACAGCGCCGGGGACCTGGGTTCGATCCCAGTCTCGGGCGACTGTATCTGTGTGGATTTTCTCCGGGTGCTCCGGTTTCCTCCCACAGTCCAAAGATGTACAGGTTAAGTGGATTGGCTGTGCCAAATTGCCTATAGTATCCAAGAATGTGCAGGCTAGGTGAGTTAGCCATGGGAAATGCAGGGTTACAGGGATAGGGTTGGGGTTGAAACTGGGTGGGATGGTCTTCAGACGGTTGGGTTGACTTAATGGGCCGAATGGCCTGATTCCACACTGTAGGGTATTCTATAATTTGAGGTGGTGACAAATAAAATAAATAAAGGGAACCAAAAAACATAATATATTTGGATTTCCAAAAAGCATTTGGTAAGGTAGCAGATATTAAGTGATTTCATAACAGTCCATAGTGTCGGGGTAGTATATTAGCTTGGACAGAGGTTTGGCTAACTAGTTGAAGACATGGACGTAGGTTTAAGGGTGACATTTTCAGATGGCAACTTGGAACTAGTGGTGTGCCACTAGGATCAGTACTGGGCCAAACTTATTTACAATATATATGAATGACTTGGATGAGGAAAGTGAGTGTGTTATGGCTGAGCTATTGGATGACACAGAACTAGGTGGGAAGGCAAGGGATGAGGATGACAAAAAGAATCTGCAGAGGGATACTGACAAGTTAAGTGAATGGGAAAACTTGGCAGATGGAATGTGATGTGGGAAAATGTCAGGTTATGCACTTTGGTAGGAAGAATGGAAGAGCTAAATATTATTAAAATGGAGAATCACTGCAGAAAACTACAGCACAGAGGAATTTAGGACTTCTAGTGCATGTCTCACAAAAAGCTATCATCTAGTTTCAACAAGTAGTAAGGAAGACAGTAAGTACGGGGAGGCAATGGCCTAGTGGTATTATCGCTGGACTGTTAATCCAGAGACCCAGATAATGTTCTGGGGACCCAGGTTCTAATCCCACCACAGCAGATGGTGGCATTTGAATTCAATAAATATCTGGAATTAAGAATCTAATAAAGACTGTGAATCCATTGCCGATTGTTGGAAAAACCCAACTGGTTCACTAATGTCCTTTAGGAAAGGAAACTGCCATCCTTACCTGGTATGGCCTACATGTGACTCCAGACCCACAGCGATGTGGTTGACTCTTAACTGCCCTCTGGGCAATTAAGGATGGGCAATAAATGCTGCCTAGCCAGTGATGCGCTCATCCCGTGAATGAATAAAGAAAAAAAAAAAAATGGGCAGTTGGCCTTTATTTCAAAGAGAATGGAGTATAAAAATAGGGAGGTCTTGTTAAGACTGTATAAGACACTAGTTAGATCACAGCTGGAATACTGTGAATAGATTTTGTCCCCTTATCTAAGGAAAGAAACACTGACATTGGAGGCAGTCTAGAGAAGGCTCTCAAGGTTGATCACAGATGTAGAGGGATTTTCTTAGGAGCAGAGGTTGGGCCTGTACTTGGCGAAAGAATGAGAATTATGAAAATATAAGATTCTTAGTCTTGACAGGCTAGATACAGAAAGACTGTTTCCCCTTGTGGGTGCCTAGGACCAGACAGTATAACATCAGATTAAGGGGTCGCATGTTTAACACAGAGATGAGGAGGAATTTCTTCCCTCAGAGTTGATTGTATCTATGGAATTATTTACCACAGAGGGCTTTTGAGGCTGAGTTGTTAAGTATCTTCAAGGCTAAGATAGACAGATTTTTAGTCAGTAAGGGAATCAAGGGTTATAAGGATAAGGCAAGAAAGTGTAGTTGAGGATTATCAGATCAACCATGATCTGTATCTGACCCCAGGTTTCCCTCTCCTGGGAGTGTTTGATGAGAACACTGTCGAGGAAGCTGTACTCTCCCTACCCCATGCTCTCCCTGTCCTGGGAATGTTTTGATGGGGACAGTATCAAGGGAGCTTGACGCTGTATCTAACCGCATGCTCTGCCTGGCCTGGGAGAGGTTGATGCCATTGGTCTGTTCCATTTGCCAGAAATACAGTTCCTCAACTTCAATGAGCTTAAAAATCACCAAATACTTGTGAATTGAAAGAAATAGTAGCTGCTATATTGAGATCCTGCTGATTGAACCTTGTTTCCTGTCTCTTCCAGGTAGCTGGGGCTGGGCTCCTTGCGATCACTTTCTGGGCATGGAATGAAAAGGTAAGAATGGGTTGTGAGTGAGGAAAGATTTGTCGGATGGCGTATAGCACAGGTAAATGTGGCAGGAAAAAGTGGAAAAGCTGGTCGGTTTAAATTGAGAGAGATTGCAGAACTCTGTAATAGAGAGGAATACGGGTGCCTTTTCTTTCTCCTGTTTGTTCAGGATGGGCGCATCACTTTGTTAGGCCAGCATTGATTGTCCAGAGGGCTAGTGAAAGAGTTAACTACATGTTACTGATGTCAGTTTGAAGTCACATGTAGATCAGACTGGTAAGAAGAGCACGCCAGTGAATCAGATGAGCTCCACCCCCACCCCCCCAACAACAATTGACATTATTCCACATTTTTATTGAGGTCAGTTTCAGCATTTGTCACGGTGAGATTTAAACCCATGCCTCCAGTTGCATTAGCTTGGCGTTCGGAATTACTAGTGCAGTGACGCTGCCAGGCTGCCACCATCTCCCCCGTACACGAATCATATACAGTTCATATGCAGATAGAGCAAGTAATTGGGAGGCAAACTGAATATTGTTGTATATTGCAAAGGGGAATGGAATATAAAAGGTCAGGATGCTTTACTACAGCTGTATGCGTTATTTGTCAGGACACATCAGTAGTACTGTGAGCAGATTTGATCATTTTATCTAAGAAAGGATATAAATGCACCAGAAGCAGTTCAGAGAAGTTTCATTTGATTAGTTTCTGAAATGGGGAAGGTTATTTTATGAGGAAAGGTTGGACCTGTATCCATTGGAGTTTCGAAGAATGAATCTGATCATTTTGAAACCTGACAGTTCCTGAGGGGATTTGACAGGGTGGATGTTCAGAGGATGGTTTTCTCTTGTAGGGGAGATAAGAATGAGACAACATGGTTTAAAAATAAGGGATCTCCCAGTTAAGCTGGAGATGAGGAGAGCCATTTTCTCTCAGAAGATCTAGAATCATTGGATCTCTGTTACTCAGAGTGGCAAGGGTGTTGAACATTTTTAAGGTGGAGCTAGGTTGATTCCATTGTTAGTCAAGGACCTATAATTATAAGGGTCAGAACTCAAGTTCATGTCAGAATAGGTCAGTCATGATCTGACTGATTGGAGGAGCACTTGATGGGTCAAATGGCCTCCTAACTTTTATGGAATTCTCAAGCCCAGGACCTTGGGTATTGACATCACATGAGAAAATTCTGCAAATACTCAGCTGGTTAGGCAACATCTATGGAGAGAGAGTGAGAGAGTTAATTTTTCTGTGAACTTTCAGAATGCTTGAGTTAAGGAATGTGCTGACCCTGGGATTTTGGTGAAGTTTAATATTAAACACTTCCACTGGGCTGAGAATGACAGCATTGCTTCATGGCTGTCTGTTTGATGAGATAGTGTGTTTCACTTGGCATCTGCTGGTTCTCTAGGGTTACAGAAGCCAGTATCACATCTGGTGTTCCAGGTTCCTTCATTGCAGCTAGTGTTTATGGAAAAACATTTCACCACTTGTGTCCACTTCAAATTCCTAATTTCCAACCATCTCCATAGTAATGATGACACCAGCTGGGGGCAGTGAAACTTTTGGGATCAAGGTGCCTGTACCTTACGGTAAATAACTCATTCTTGATGCTAAATGGGTGGGTGCTCAGGTTGTTGAGAGGGAGGTGCTCTGGCAGCATCGGTAAAACAGTTAGGAGATGACACAAACCATTATCAAGAACTATCTTTGAAAAGATAGTTTGAAGTGATGTTTTTCTTTAATTAATTCACAGGCTGTGGGCATCACTGACTGGACCAGCACTTCTGCCCATCCCTAATTGCCCAGAGGGCAGTTGAAAGTCAACCATCTTGCTGAGGGTCTGGAGTCACATGTAGGCCAGACCAGGTATGAGGTTGTAGACATGCTCACTGAGCTGGTGGGTTTGGTTGCAAACATTTTGTCACTCTGCTCTGTAACATCGTCAGTGCGCCTCCAGTGAAGCGTTAGTGTTCTGTCCCGCTTGTTATTTATAAGCCTCAGTTTGCTGGAGTGGTTGGTATTACTTTTAGTTCTGAGTCTCAGTGGTTTGTACACAGGGTCTAATTCAATGTGTTTGTTGATGGAGTTCCGGTTGGAATACCAGGCCTCCTGGAATTCCCTGGCATTCTCTGTTTGGTTTGTCATTTAAGTTTGTCAGTAGCTGTCGTAGGGTGGTTGTCGGTTTGTGGGCTACTCTGACACCATTCTCACCTTTGCATTACTGCTCCTACTTCAGGACTGATTGCGGAAGGTTAGAATGGACACCGCTCCCCACAATACAACCCAAACTCTGGATCCGATATGTAGATGACACCTTCGTGATTATTAAACACACAAAACTAGAAGAAACCCACTGACACATAAACAACATCCTCACCAGGATAAAATTCACAAAAGAAGAGAACAACAACCACAATCCTGGACACAATGGTAGAACGCAAATACAATGGGCAACTCCAGACTAGCGTATATAGAAAGACCACACATACGGACCAGATACTCAATTACATTAGCAACCACCCCAACGCCCACAAACGGAGCTGCATCAGGACACTATTTAAACGAGCCACAACACGTTGCAGCAACCGGAACTATGCAAAGCAGAACAGGAGCACCTATATGAAGTCTTCAAAAGAAATGGATACCTGAAGAGCACAGTCCGCTGTTACATCCACGACAGACCGCAACAGGAAGACTCAACACGGCCAGACACACTAGTCACACTACCGCACATCAAGGACATTTCAGAAATGACCACAAGACTACTCAGATACCTACCGACATCCATCCTATGAAAGATACTGACAAACATAAAGGAATCCCATACCTAAAACTAGCCAAACCAGTGTAATATAAAAAACGCCATGCAAGGACTGTGAGAAACATTACATAGGCCAAACCCGAAGAAAACTGACAATACGGATACATGAACACCAATGAGCCACCAAGAAACATGACCGATTCTTGATTGTCATCTCACTACATGTGAACAATGAGGGGCGCAAATTCGACTGGGAGAACACATCGATAATCACACAAACCAAACAGAGACACACCAGGGAATTCCTGGATGCCTGGTATTCCAACCAGAACCCCATCAACAAACACATTGAATTAGACCCTGTGTACAAACAACTGAGAAACAAAACCGGAAGTAATACCAACCACTCCAGCAAACTGAGGCCTATAAATAACAAGCGGGACAGAACACCAACGCTTCACCGGAGGCGCACTGACGATGTTACCTAGCAGGGTGACAAAATGTTTACAACCAGACTCACCAGCTCAGTGAGCACGTCTATAACCTCATCCACACTCCGAGCTACAAATCTTCAAACAGACCAGGTGTGGATATCAGTGTCCTTCCCTAAAGTACATTAATGAGCCAGATGGGCTTTTCCCAACAATCAACAATGATTTCATAATCATCATTAGATTTTTAATTCCAGGATTTCTTCTTTTAAATTCAAACTCCACCAACTGCATGGCAGGATTTGAACTCAGGTTTCACTGGTCTCTGGATTGGTTGTCTAGCAATAATACCACTAGGCCATTGCCTCCCAACTGATGATTGTCTGGCATTTGTTCATATACAGGGTGTGTTGAATATTCAGTCCATCACAGAACTGAAGGGCTTTGATCCAGTCTGGGTGATCCTGGTGGTTGGCTTATTCACCTTCATTTTGGGATATGCAGGCTGCATTGGAGCTCTACGCGAGAATATCTGCCTCCTGAAATTTGTAAGTCTCTCAAACCTGTTGTTTATCATTTCCACAGTGAGATCAGTGCAGGCATGTCTGCGTACATCTGTTTCCACAGCTAGAATTTCCTGGAACAAGCTGCTAGTCTGTGGCCACAGACTGTTGCTCGAGAACTGTCACTCCACATCAAGCATGGCTGACCATGTCTTGTCACCCACTGGTTTTAAACATATATCCTGATGTCACAGATTTCTCAGAAAAGTTAACATGCAGATCCTGTGCCTCTGATTGTGTTTTTCTCTTGTCACCTTTTCTGGTGCATTCATTGTCTCCTATAACCTGCTACTGTTCTGTCTGTCCCACCTACTTACACTTCGTGCCCTCTTGCTTTCTCGCAATCTCTTGCTCACTCAGTCTCTCATGCCTTCTCCCTCCTTCAGTCACTCCTCTCATAGAATCCCTACAGTGTGGAAACAGGCCCTTCGACCCAACAAGTCCACACCGACCCTTGGAGCAACCCACCCAGACCCATCCCCCTATAAACTACCTAATCGACTGACCCCTGAACACGACTGCATCTCTATCTCAACTATTCTACAATCCTCAGTCTCTCATGCCTTCTGCCTCACTCTCATCCTCTGTCCTTTTCTCTTGTGCCCTTTCTCTTGCCCTTTCTTCCTCTCTCCCGCTGCTCTCTTGTATCTTCTGTCTCATTCCCTCGCTCTCACCCTCTCTCTCAAGACCTCTCTCTATTTAATTCTAGTATCGCTCTTGCATCCAAGTTATCACATACACTCTGCCAGTTCTTCCCTGCTCCCCACCACTGATTCCATATTGCCTTCAGTCAATGGTACTTGAGGAAGGATCCATAGGTGGAGGAGAGCTGAGAACTAAAAGCTTTGCTGGGGTTTGAGGACAGAGGAAAGAATATTCCCCGAAACCAGCAGTGAAGCTAGTCAGGAGTGATGGAGGATCTGGGAACACTGCCATCGGGCAGAAGAGAAATACTGGACTCAGGACAGTTTGAGACGTTTGATTTGGAGGCAGTTGGTGACCATCAACTAGCAATATCCTGGCTGTTATCATTGGTCAGAAACTAAACTGGACTAGCCATATAACTACTGTGGCTACAAGACAGGTCAGAGGCTAGGCATCCTGTAGCACGCAACTGACCTCCTGACTCCTAAACTCTGCCCACCATCTCCAAGTCACAGGTTTGATGAAATACTCCCCAATGCCTGATGGGTACAGCTTCAACAACACTCAAGGAGCTTGACACTATCCAGGTCAAAGCAGCCTGCTTGATTGGCACCACATCCAAAAACATCCACTCCCCTCCACCTTTGATGCTTGGTAGCAGTAGTTTGTGCCTTCTACAGGATACACAAAAGAAATTCTCCAAGGCTGTTTAGACAGCACCTTTCAAACCCAAGGAGATAGCAAGAACTGCAGATGCTGGAGTCAGAGACAACACAGTGTGGAGCTGGAGGAACACAACAGGCCAGGCAGCAAAGGAACAGGAAAGCCCTGCCCATCTTCCACCCCGCCTATCCGCCCCACCCTTCCCACCGACCAATCTCCACTACCCTCTACCTGCATCCACATATTGCCACCCCACCGACCTTTCCTCAGCCCCACCCCTCCTCCCTCTATTTATTTCCCAGCTCCCTCTCCTCTCCCCAGTTCTGAAGAAGGGTCCCGACCCAAAACGTCGACTTTCCTGCTCCTGTGATGCCTGACCTGCTGTATTCCTCCAGCTCCACACTGTTGCCTCCACCTTTCAAACCCAAGTCTATTTCCACCTAGAAGGACAAGGGCAGCAGATATATGGGAACACCACCACCTGCAAGTTCCCCTTCAAGCTACTCACCATCCTGACTTGGAAACATAATCGCTGTTCCTTCAGTGTCACTGGGTCTCAGTGTTTCTTCATCTAATCATTGGCTGTGCAAATACTATTTGACCCCAGGGCAATCATCATTGTCCATTGGCAGACTGATGCCTTGGGATAATTCTCAGTGGCTGTTTGTTGCTGGTGAAAGGCAGGCTTCTGAAAGGGCAGTTTGCTGAGCAGATTGTCCAGAGCTGAGCCATCCTGCGACCCCCCCGGGAGGTACTGATGGATAAAGTGCAAAGATCCAAATTTTTGAGCCGAATGATCATGATCTGGTGGAAAGGTCAACCAACGAGGTGTTTGTGGGAGATAAAAGAGCACCAGGTAATTTGATTTTCTTTTGTTTTCAGGGACGATTTTTACATTAGAATAGTCACATGAATAGAGAGATCTCGGGTGTAGGTACATAGTTCCTTGAAAGTGGCCTCACAGGTAGAACTGGTAGTGAAGGAGGTGTTTGGCATGCTTGCCTTCATCGGTCAGAGTGTTGAGTACAGGAGTTGGGACATCATGTTTCAGCTGCACAAGACATTGGTAAGGCCACATTTGGAGTACTGCGTATATTTCTGGTCGCCCTGCTATAGGAAGAATGTTATTAATCTGGAAAGGGTGCAAAGAAGATTTACAAGCCTGTTACCGAGAATGGAAGGTTTGAGTTACAAGGAGGAGTAGGATAGGCTGGGACTTTTTTCCTGGAGTGTAGGAGGCTGAATGGTGATCTTATAGAGGTTTCTAAAATCATGATGGGCATAGATAAGGTGAATAGCCAAAGTGTTTTCCTCAGGATAGGGAAGTCCAAAACTAGAGGGCATAGATTTAACAGAGAGGAGAAAGATAAAGAAGGGACCTGAGGGGCAACGTTTTCAAATGGAGAGTGGTGTGTGCATAGAACGAGCCACCAGAGGAGGTGGGTACAGTTACAACATTTAAAAGACATTTGGACAGGTGCGTGGATATGAAGGGTTTAGAGGGATATGGGCTAAACACAGGCAAATGTGACTAGTTCAGTTTAGGAAAGCAGGTTGGTGTGGGCCGAAGGGCCTGTTTCTGTGCTGTTTATCTCTACGACTCTATCCCAGTTTGCTAGAGAAGGTGGACCAAAAAACAAGGCTAAATTAATCAGATTGGCAAGGGTAGCACCACGGGAGAGTTTGTTGAAGATATTAGATTGTTTCTTGGAGCAATATGTCATGGAACCATCTAGAGAACAGGCTTTTTAGGATTTGATATTGTGTAATGAGATGGGATTAATAAATGATCTCATAGTAAAGGATCCTCTTGGCAAGAGTGCTCATAAGATACTAGAATTTCAAAGTCATTTTGAGGGCAAGAAACTGGAGTTCCACACTAGTATTCTGGAGTTAAACAAAGGTAGTCACATAGGCATGAGGACCGATCTAGCCGTAGGGGACTGGGCAGGTGATAAGCAGAGGCAGACGTTTAAGGAGATACTCAATTGCTCAAACCTAAAATATATTCCAGAATGGAAGGAATATTGTAAGAGGGATGAAAGCATCCATGGCTAAGCAAAGAAGTTAAAGATAATATAAAAACAAAACCTAAAGCATGCCATATTGCAAAGGTGAATGGCAGGCTGGAAGATTGGGAAACTTTCAAAGATCAATAAAAGGCTATTAAAAAAGTAATGAAAAGAGCAAAGGTAAATTAAGAAAGAAAACTAGTGCAAAATATAAAAACAGATAGCAAAATCATCCATGAGTATATAAAAGGGAAGAGAGTAGCTAAAGTGAATATTGGTCCATTGGAGAATGAGACTGGGGAGTTAATGGGGAATACGGAAATGGAAGAGACACTAAATCAATATTTTGCTTCATAGTGAAGACACTTGCACCATCCCAAGGGTACCCAAGTAATGCAGAAGTTATAAGAAGGGAAGAATTTACAACAATCATTGCCACAAGAGAACCACAGCAAACCATTGAAGGATTGAAGGCAGACAAGCCCCCAGGGCTTGACAGCCTAATTCTAGGGTCTTAAAGGAAGTGGCAGAAGAGATAGTGGATCCACTGATTGTAATATTCCAAAATTCGAGATGAAGGAAAGGTTGCAGTGGATTGGAGAAATGCTAATATAACAGCCTTATTCAAAGAGGGAAAGAGGCAGAAAGAAGGAAACTATAGACCAGTTAGTTTAACATGCATTGTTTGGAAATTGTTAGAATCCATTATTAGTAACAACAGGATATCTGGAAAGTCAAAATGCAATCCATTAGAGTTAACACGGTTTTATGAAGAGTAAATCATGTTTGGCTAATTTACTAGAATTCTTCAAAGATGTAGCAAGCAAAGTCTATAATAGGGATCCTGTACTTGCAGTGTATCTGGACTCCCAGAAAGCTTTTGATAAGGTGCTGCACAAAAGGTTAACACACAAATGAAGATTACATACAATTGGAGGTAATTTATTAGCTTTGAAGAGGATTGGCTAACCAACAGAAAGCAGAGAGTGAGGATAAATGGTTCTTTTTCTGAATGGCAAGATGTAACTAGTGGGTGCCACAGGATTTAATCCTTTGCCCCTAACTGTTTTCAGGCTATATTAATGATCTAGATGTGGGGATAGAAAGCAGCACGGTGGCTTAGTGGTTAGCGCCACTACCTCACAGCACTAGGGACCAGGATTTGATTCCATTCTTAGGTGAGTGTGGAGTTTGCACATGCTCCCTGTGTCTGTGTGGGTTTCCTCTGGGTGCTCCAGTTTCCTCCCACAGTCCAAAGATGTGTAGGTTAGGTAGATTGACCATGTTAAAATGTCCATAGAGTCCAGGGATGGTTAGGTTAGATGGATTAGCCATGGGAAATATAGGGTTATAGGGATAGGGTAAGAGGATGGGTCTGGGTGGGATACTCTTCAGAGGATCGGTGTGGACCTGGTGGGCGGAATAGCCTGCTTCCACACTGTAGGGAATTCTATGAAAGTACTATAGCCAGATTTGCAGATAACACTAAAATAGGTGGGAAAGTAAGTTGCAATGAAGAAATAAGACTTTTACAAATGGAAATGGCCAAAGTTTGTCAGATGAAGCTTAATGAAGATAAATGTAAGGTAATCCATCTTGGTTGGAGGAATAGAAAGGCAACTTATTATTTAAATGGAGAGAAACTTCATAGTGCATCAGTACAGAGGGATCTGGGTGTCCTCCTGCATTAAATCACAGAAAACTAGGGTGCAGGTACAGCGGGTAATAAGAAAGGCAGATGGAATTTTGGCCTTTATTACTCATGGAATAGAATATAAAAGTAGAGAAGTGTTGCTGCAGCCATACACGGCATTAGTGAGACCACACCAGGAACAAAGTCATAGAGTAATAGAGTCATACAGCACAGAAACAGACCCTTCAGTCCAACTCATTCATGCTGACCGAGTTTCCCAAATTAAACTAGTCCCACATGCCTGCATTTGGCCCATATCCCTCTAAACCTTTGCTATTCATGTACGTATCGAAATGTCTTTTAAGTGTTGTAACTGTATCTGCATCCACCACTTTCTCTGGCAGTTCATTCCACATATGAACCACACTCTGTATGAAAAGGTTGCCCCTCAGGTCCCTATTAAATCTTTCTCCTCTCATCTTAAAAGTATGCCCCCTAGTTATTTATACCCCTCATGATTTTATAAATCTCTACAAGGACTCCCCTCAACCTCCTACCCCTCCACTGGAAAAAGTCCCAGCCTATCCAACCTCTCCTTACAACTCAAACCCTCCAGTCCTGGCAACATCCTGGTAAATCTTTTATGAATCCTCTTCAATTTAATAATATCCTTCCTAAAGCAGGGTGACCAGAACTGCATACAGTATTCCAAAAGTGGCCTGACCAACGTCCTGTACAACCTCAACACAACATCCCAACTCCTATACTCAGTGGTTTGAGCAAGGAAGGCAAGTGTGCCAAATGCCTCGTTAACTACCTTATTCCGTTCAGTTTTGGTCCCCTTTCTTGACGAGGGACTTGTACTAGAGCAGTTCAGAGGAAGTTCACTAGATTGATTCCAGAGTTTGTCTTAAGAGAGATTGTTTAGACAAATACTTGCTAGAGTTTAGAAGAATGAGAGATCTAATCAAGGTATGTACGTATGATTCACAAAGTAGACGTTGAGAGGATGTTTCCTGTGGGGCAATCTAGAGTAAGAGGTCATAGCTTTAGAATAAGGGATAGGAGATTTAAAACAGATGAAGAGAAATTACATCTTAAGGATTGTGAAGATGTGGAATTCACTCCCCCAGAATGTCATGGATCCTGAGACATTGAGTAAATTTGAGGAGAAAATGGACAGATTTTCAATTAGTAAGGGGTTGAAGGTTATGGAGAGTAGACAGCAAAGTGGAATTGAGGCTGAGTTAAAATATGCCATGATTATATTAAATGGCAAGGCATGCTTGAGGGGCTGAATGGCCTACTCCTGTTCCTAGTTCTTATGTTCTTATCTCAATGTCATTATCTGTCTCTGATATCCTAGTTTTGCAGAACTGGAATCCCTTGATCTTATCAGGCATATTAACTGCTGCTTTACTCCCAGGTAGAGAATTTTGCCATGACTGAGTCCACATGTAGGGTTTGATGAAACATGTGTGATGGGCAGGTGTGCATTGTACTTGGAAAGGAGAAACTTCACTGAGACCAGATTCAAGGTTTCAGTTTGGAGGTTGTTGGATGTTATAAGGGCTTAAGGTGACTGAGATTTTTGCTGAATCTTTGACATGTGAGATTAGAGAGTCATGGAGCTGTACAGCATGGAAACAGACCCTTCGGTCCAATTTGTCCACACTGAACAGATATCCTAAATTAATCTAGTCCCTTTTTGCCTGCATTTAGCCTATATCCCTCTAACCCCTTCCTGTATATATACCCATCCAGATGCCTTCTAAATGTTGTAATTGTACCAGCCTCCACCACTTCCTCTGGCAGCTCATTCCACACACACACAACCCTCTGTGTGAAAATGTTGCCCCTCAGGTCCCTTTTAAATCTGTCCCCTCTCACCTTAAACCTATGCCCTCTAAATTTTGGTCTACCCTGGGGAAAAGACCTTGGCTAATAACCCTATCTATGCCCCTCATGGTTTTATAAACTTCTATAAGGTCATCCCTCAGCCTCACGCTCCAGGGAAAATAGACCCAGCCTATTCAGCTTCTCCCTCTAGCTCAAACCCTCCAATCTTGGCAATATCCTTGTAAATCTTTTCTGAACCCTCTCACATTTTACAACATCCTCCCTAAAGCAGGAAGACCAGAATTGAACCAATATTCCAAAAGTGGCCTAACCACTTCCGATACAGCCTCAACATGACCTCCCAACTCCTATACTCAATGTAATGACCAATAAAAGCAAGCATACTAATGCCTTCTTTACTATCCTGTCTACCTGGGACTCCGCTTTCAAGGAACTATGAACCTGCACTCCAAGATCTCTTGTGATGACAGAGCTCAGGATTTATTGGGGTGGGTGGGAATGTGGGACATTGACAGAAGCCTTGATCATTGTTGGACCAGTGAGTTGAACAGAAACAAGGAGCCAGATGAACAGCAACTTGCCCAGCTGGCATTGTTGATTCCAACTTTCTCCAATTCTCTGGATTTTTGCTTTCATAGTTTTCGGTAATCATTGGAACCATCTTCACAGTGGAACTTGTAGCTGGAATTCTGGCCTTCGTGTTTCAGGACACGGTAAAGGAGCATGTGCAGAAGTTCGTCCAAGACAATATCAGTGCTTATCGTGATGATATAGACCTTCAGAACCTCATCGATGCAGTGCAGAAATATGTACGTGAGCATATTCTCCATCCTTCATTCTCTTGCTGTCACTGGGCAACAAACATGGCATGTTGCTGCTGGAAGATATGCAGCTGACTATGGGATCCTTGCTGTTCTGCTGGGAATGTTCCACATTACATCCACATGTTTGACTTGTTGGTTTCTCTATCTTCAGACTGTGGTGGGTTTGGAACCGGGGGTCCCAATGTTGACTTTTTTAATTCATTCAGGAATCATGGGCATTGCTGGCAGGCCCAGCATTTGTTGCCCATCCCTAGCTGCCCTTGAGAAGTTGGTGATGAGCTGCCTCCTTGAACTGCTGCAGTCCATGTGTGGGGTTAATGGGGTTTTGGAGACCAGAAGATTGCGGTAGGATGCAGTTAGCCCTGTGCTAGTTTTGGTAATTGAAAAGTTTTCTGTTTGGCTTTGCTTTGCCCCTGTGATGCTGTTCAATTCTGTATCGCCTCCCTTCATTTATTTCTCTCTCACTCTTTCTCTCTCTGCCTCCCATGATCCAACCCTTTCAGATGCAGTGTTGTGGGGCTGCTGACCCTAATGACTGGAACAGAAATGTTTACTTCAACTGTTCAAAGGAAAACACCAGCCGGGAGCGATGTGGTGTCCCCTTTTCTTGCTGTTTGCCTGACCCAGCTGTAAGTAGTCATAATAGCAATGATGATAAATCCTCAATCATTGGGAGCATTTGCAATCTTTCCTATTTTAATCGTCTAAAGATTATATCCATATAGTGCAATCAAGGGAATGATGGGAGATACAAACAAACAGGGAGTTCTTGAGTAAGGGACAGACTGACACAGAGGCAGAAGCAGGTCAGATGACTGATTGTGACCGTTTGTAAATGTGAAGACATGAAATCTAGGAGCAAGAGTTGGGAGGGATTTTGGTATGGAGAGGGTGAGACAAGCTTTAGAATAGTTTGATGTAACACAGCAAAGCACATACCTTTCAGCTCAAGGATCCTTTCTGCTCCACCTCTCAAAGGACAATCTCCACAAAGCACTTCCGAAAGAAGCAAACTCTACATTGGACCCAACCTCGCACAGGTTCTACCCCTTTCTGAAAATTAACAAACAGATCCATCATTTCAGCCTGTTCTTACCCCACTGAACATACCTCTTCCTTTCTTGACTGTATGTCCACCCCCCCACCCCTTGTTCGGACTCTGTTGGGATTCACAGAGTAATACAGCATGGAAACAGGCCCTTCAGCTCAAACTGTACATCTGTTCCACAGTTTCCAGTTTCTGGTCCTGGCTGCCTTGTCTTTCCCTTGGATGTGCAATACATCCAGCCTTCATCAGGATGGTCTGAAGACCCTTTACTTCTTCTCCAAAATGAGGCCTGAACAGTCCCCATCCACAACCCTTACACTCGCCTGGCCAAGCTCAACCTCGCTTTAAACAACTTATCCTTTAACACCTTTCATTTTCTTCAAGTCAAAGGTGTGGCCAAGGGTACCCAAATGGGCTACAGTTATGTCTGTCTCTGTGGGGAATGAGAAACATTCCTTGTTACAGTGTCATACAGTCATACAGCACAGAAACAGACCCTTCAGTCCAAAACCACTCCATGCCGACCATAATCCCAAACTAAACTAGTCCCACCTGCCTGCGCTTGGCCCATATCTCTCCAAATATTTCTTTTTCATGTACTCATCCAAATGTCTTGTGAATTTTGTAACTGGACCCGCATCCACCACTTCCTCTGGAAGTTCATCCCACATACGAGCCATACTGTGTAAAAAAATATTGTCCCTCATGTCTCTTCTAAACCTTTCTCCTCTCACCTTAAAAATATGCCCATGGTCTTGAAATCCCCCACCCTAGGGAAAAGACACCTGCCATTCACCTTGTCTATACTCCTCATTATTTTATAAACCTCTATAAGGTCACCTCTCTACCTCCTACGCTCCAGTGAAAAAGTCCCAGCCTATCCAGCCTCTCCTTATATATCAAACCCTCCATTCCCAGCAATGTCCTAGTAAATCTCTTCTGAAACTTCTCCAGCTTAATAATATCCTTATTGTTTATTCCAATTCTATTCAGACTCCCTCTCACAACTCTTTCTGTGATACATCGATGATCAATGCTGCTTCCTATTCTTGTCTGGAATTGGAAAACTTAATCAACTTTGCTTTCAGTTTCCATTACAAAATCACCAACTCCAAGTTGCTTCGACTACACTTGCTCACACTGATTCCTACAAGGAATTTCTTTCTCCCAGTTTCTCTGCGTATTCCTCCTAGAGGAATGATAGGGTTCCCCTTGTCCTTAGTTTCCATCCAATCTGTATTCAAGACCACCTCCAAAGGATGCCACCACCAAAATATCTTCGCCTCCCCTCCATTCTGCAGGGATCATGCCCTCTGCTACTCCCTAGTCCACTCCTTCATCACTCCTAACACTTCCCATGCAGTCCCAGAAGGTAAGTAACACTAGCCCTTTCATTTCCTCCATCCTCACCATCCAAGGCCCAGACACACCTTCCAGATGAAGCAACATTTCACTTGTACTGTGTTCAGTCTTTTTTCATTCATTCACGGGATGAGGATGTCACTGGCTAGGGCAGCATTTATTGCCCATTGTAGAGGGCAGTTAAGAGTCATACACATTGATGTGGGTTTGGAGTTACATGTCAACCAGACCAGGTAAAGTGGCAAACTTCCCCAGAAGGATACTAGTGAACCAGATGGGTTTTTCTGACAGTCAACAATGATTTCGTGGTCATCATCAGACTCTTAATTCCAGATTGTTTAAATTGAATTCAAATTCCACCATTTGCTGTGGCAGGATTTGAGCCCAGGTCCCCAAAACATTACCTGGGTCTCTGGATTAACAGTCCAGCAACTTTGCATCGGAATCTGTCTACTGCATTTGCTGCTCACAATATAGTCTTCCTTTAAACTGTAGGGGCCAGACTGGGTGAACATGCCCTCTGTTGTAAGAATGACCTGACCAATCCTACTACAGTGTTCCAACAAGGCTCAACACAAAATGGAGGAACAATCCCACATTTTCTGCTTAGACACTTTTCAGCTTCTAGGACCCCGTACGGAGTTCCACAAGTTCGGAGTATGTTTTCGATCTTCCATTGTTCCAACATCCACTACCCTCCCCAGCTGAGTTCTGTTTGTGTAATGTTGACTTTGCTGTCAGACAGAGGATCCATTTTCACCTTTCCACACCTATCATTTACACCTATTTTGCATCACTATCACTCCTTTACCACCTATAGCATTCCCTTTGTCTTTTACTCTGAGCATCCTCACCCTCTGTCCCACTCTATCCTCCTCTCCCTCTGTCATCAGCCTAAATACTACCATTTTCAGTTCTGAAGAAGTCAGATCGGAGTCAAAACAATAATTCTTTCCGCACAGATGATGCCAGACCTGCTGAGATTCTTCAGCATTCCCTGTTTTTATTTCAGATTTCCAGTATTTGAAGTATTTTACTTTTGTTCACATTGGAGGCTTATTGCTGCAAAATCAGAGACAGCAATCAGGGTGGCATGGTGGTTCAGTGGTTAGCACCGCTGCCTCACAGTGCCAGGGACCCAGGTTCAATTCCAGCCTTGGGCAACTGTTTGTGTGGAGTTTGCACATTCTCCCTGTGTCTGTGTGGGTTTCCTCTGGGTGCTCTGGCATTTCTCATGGTGGTGTAATTTCTTCAAACACCAACATGGCTATCAGCACATGCAGAGATGGAGCTGGTAATATCAGCTGTCTATGGCAGGCTTCAGGATACTTCCACACCTATGTGCAGTATTCTCATTCCTAATGTTAAAACTATACAATTAATGTGTTTATAATGGGGGAAATGAATCATCTCTGACAGGGGAGGGCAGAAAAGTATTGGCTAAAGACACTTTGTTAAAGTATTCCTGTTGTGCATTTTTCAGATTATGGTTTAAATATCATTGGACCAGAATTAGGACGAGTCTTCTTGGAGGTAGTCGATTGTCTTTGGTTGTGACTCCCCAGTTGTGTAACTGGAGTATTGTCTCAAAGTTATTTGCTAAAAAATTGATGTCAAATCCAACATGCCTTTAGTGTAGCTTCAGGTCACAGGCTTTTATAAAATCTCCCGTCACTTTGGAATGATATCGGAATGATATCCTATTTATGTGCTCGTTCTGCCACCTAGAGGCAGTGTTTGAACCATTGGCAGCTACCTGTTCACTTCCACTCTTCATAAAATGGCAAAGAAACAACCTTAGAATCATAGCCCTCCATAAGACGTAGGAGCAGAATAGGCCATTCAGCCCATCAATCTGTTCCACCAATGAGATCATAGTTGGTCTGATAATCCTCAACTCCACTTTCCTGCTTTTCCCATAAACCTTACTGATTAAAAATATATTTATCTCAATGTTGAATACACTTAATGACAGCCTCAACAGCCCTCTGTGGTAAAGAATTCCATAGGTTCACTACCCTCTGATGGAAGAAATTTTTCCTCATCTGTCTTAAATGGGCAACCCTGTATTCTGAGATTATACCCACTGGTCCTAGACTCACCCACAAGGGCACACAACCTTTCCACATCTACTGCGTCAAATCCCTAACAATATTGTATGTTTCAATAAAGTCATTTCTCATTCTTCTAAACTCTCATAAGTACAGCCCCAACCTCTCAACTTCTCCTCATAAGACAGTCCCGCCGTTGCTGGGATCAGTCGATTGAACTTTCCTGTAGTTGCCTTCAAAACCACTATATCTTTCCTAAGATAAGAGGCCAAAAACTGTCCACTGTATTCCAACTGTGGTCTACCTGCCTATTATTCACTGAACTTGGATGCTGGCTTTTCTTGATTCATGGATTCATTCACTCATTGCACAGGGATTTGATCACCCATGCAGACCTTGACGGGGTATTTGCCACACCCTGGGGCTTCTCATACTCAGGGCTTCTGTGCTGTCCAGACTGTCCCCTCTGCTCTCTAGCAGCTGTGGTGATGCTCTATGTTTTCTTACTCATCATCCAGGCACTGACAGACCTAGAGACACTCCCTTTCTGCCTCCTTGCGCCCAGACTACAGCCTGTTCCTCCGGGGCTCCTCACTGTGCCTAGCCTGCAGCTCACTGAGGACATCACTCTCTCCCCTGAAGGAAGCCGTAAGCTCCAATATCTTCACTTCCCCTGGTCTTCTTCCCCCAGCCCCACAATCATAATCGCCAGCTGGGGAAATGGGATAGCTACAGCAGCAACTGGGCAAAGGGGGGGTGGGCTGAACCAGGGAGACAGCTGGACTTCCTGTAATAGAAGGAAATGGGCAGTATACATTCAAACAAGGCAGTATATCTGTGAGTTACAAGGGGAGCTAACTCAGGTGAATTGAAATCAAAACTCTTCAGGCAAAACAGTATTTGAATAATGGGAGGCCTTTACAATCAAATGATTCAGGTGCAGAATAAGCATATTCCAATCAGGGGGAACAGAAAGATATCCAGGACTAGAGCTCTCTGAATGATTGAAGATGTTGAGATTATAAATAAGATATTAAAAGTAGGTTTGTGACCTTCACATTACAATTGAGAGTCAGACCTGATCTAGAAAATATAGAGAAGATCACCAAAGAAGACATGGGAGAATAGATTGTTGATTAATATTAAAAAAAATTGAAAATTTGTTTTG